TAATTGTACTAAGAATTTTTCTTTCATTCTTAACCCTCTCAAAAATTAATAAGCACGCCCCCGATTTGCTGTCAGCTGGGCTTACTTCTACTCTCAATCATTATTGGTTTTAGTATATCTCATAATGAGTATTTTGTGAATATTCCAAAATCCACTTTGGGACATTTTGTGTATATCTGAGGATCTAATTTTATGAAATATCTGTTGCTAGAGAAAAAGATAAAGGAGAAAACTATTGAACATTGATAGATATTGAACATTCTTTTGACATTTTGATGTCAGTGATATATTAATTTCTATACTATCTGCATCCAACAAAAAAGCAACCCAAACAATGATAAATTCATGATCAAAGCATGATCACTACGCACATTTGCATCTATTGGGTAAAATTAACAAGCTTCCTTATGCTGGCCAATCAGATTTAACTGCAATCGGCTGGCGGAATTCATTGTTACAGTGTTGGAGTGGTCAATTACGTTTTAACGTCTGTGGTGTGTACATAAACGGTATTTTATTAAGTACTGATACGTCTGAAGAAACTGCTAATTTGTGTCCCTACACTCCACCTAAAAGACTTTAATATCCAGCTGTATATAATTTTAAAAAAATGAAATGAAAGTTCGGTTGTTCTTCAGTGCGTCTACACAAGCAGCCTTGTCTGGGAGATCACGTGCACTATGTATGATAATGTTTTGGAGCATCAAGTTAGTTAGGGTTAACCCAGAAAAAATAAATAACTTTTGATACTGATCAATACTCAAAACTTTTCAGAAATTTGTGTTACTTAATAATATGATCATTAACAACTACTTCCCTGTTTAATATCACGATAGGTATTGGATTAAATGCAACAGATTTATTCAAGTTTCAATACGGATTTTTTGATAGATCAGTGAAATCGTTTTGTAACCAAGTTAGTATCATCAGGAGATGACTAAAACACTGACTGATGACTGATGGGAGACACTGCAGATTCCAGTTCTACCGAAGAAGCATCCCTTGAACCAAAATTCTGTCCAAATCAGTAACAAATCACTAATGAGATTTCCCGGTTTGAAGAGATGAATGTTTTGAATTTTTCATTCAATATTTTTTAATAGCCTATATATTTGCCCTTGACCCACTATCAATATTTAATTGTGTGGAAGAAGGTTGAAGTCAATTAATGAAATTCTACAAACCATGGTCAAGAACTTGTCCTATTTTTTATTTTATTGAATTTTTTTTAATCGATTTCCTAGGAAGCTGTGGGGGAGGTGGTCACTCATTCATTAAAAACACAAAGTGTTGAATATACAGAATAAATTACAATTTCAATGAGAGTTTCAACCTGCTGCAAAAATAACAAAAGAGCAAGTAATCATTATGACCTGAAAAACAAAACATTTCATTTTTTTTGCTCAGGTTGCCCCAAAGGGTGTCGATCCTTAGACAATTTCAAGGTTAATTCTTTAAAAAATTCACAAAGGTTCGCAAAGCTTTATTTCTGAGATGCAGGATGTTGAATTTCAACAAAAAAAATTCTCCCCTAATATCTCTGAAACCACTTTGCACAATTTTGGTACATGCAAAGTACACAAAAAAATAGGTTTTTTCCATGGTGAAGGTTTTTTAATGTTCATCAGTGGCGTCCCTGTTAACATTGCCCTTCCATGTTTTTGTAATTGCCTTTTATCTTCTCATTAAAATGGTCTCCTACCTTTTTTGTTTGGCGAACTATTTTTGAGGTAGAAAATGGAATGCATTCATTCACTTGTCCTATGCGAAATCAGCCATTGAAGTGAAGTAGTATTATTTTGTGGGCTAGACATATCTATACTAATTTCGTTGTCGTCAAAATGAACAATTTTAATAGTTCAATAGCTAGATGCGTGATATAATTGACGTCATAAAACTTGTTTATTAAAAAAACATGACAAAAAAAATAAGGATGCCACCAAATCACTCAAGTGATTTTGAATCATCTTTTAAAATTTTTCATTTTCTAGTTTCATTTCATTCATTATTGATTTTTTTTATTTGAATGGAATATTAAGTTATGTTCCTAAACGTCAACCAAAATCTTTTCCATTACTTGGATCTATTCTATATTGTGTTTGAGATGCCAATTAAATGTTATGAAAAAAATCATTGATTCCAAGCAGTATTTATAAAATGGTTATAGTTATGTTGATTTGATTATTTATAAATCTTCAGATACTGTTATCTTCATAAAATAGTAACTGTTGTTGAGATGCCCTACATTTTGGGTTGTGCAGATAGTGGAAATATAAAATTTTCCACTCCAGAGTAACCTTTTTTTACACTGAAAAGAAATTTTAATAACTATTAAAGTTTCAATAGTAGCAATCACAAAGTTATTGTAGATACGTGACTGGGACTTGATTTACTTGCCCCAATTGAAAAAAATAGCACTGTTTAATGGTCATAATTGCCACCTAGTGTACCTCCGAAAGGTACCTACAAAATAGTAGGTCTCACATGAGAGGCAAGGGCTTGGCATTTTCACCAGAACTTGGGCATATCATATGCACCTCTTTGGAATATGTTCGTTACTCCCACTCCGGAGTGTTTTTGTGGAGTTGCTTCTGGACTTGTCTGCAAGTGGTACATCTCATTGAGTCAACTGCAGGCAGAGCTTATGATTAGTTGAAATTAATTTGGTTTGTTCGGGATATTCAGAAGGTTCACTCTGTCTGAAATGACCCACCCGGCACGTGTGAGAAGCTAGTACTACAAAACCAGTCTGTCAGTCACTCTGACCAAATGAAATTCATTTCAGCTCCTCATATATAGGAATTTACCTGCAACGAATCTTCCAAACGGAAGACTGCGCAGGTCCCTAATGGTTTCATTTCAGCTTTTTCTCAGTGACATAAGCAGGGATGGCTGTTGTTTTTTTCGTCGGGTATCTGCAACACGTGGCTCTTGAATTGAAATCAAATTGGGAATGATCGGAATAGTACTAATCTTTATTTATCTATTTTCATGAAATTATTTTCCAGCAGCTTGACTACATTACTCTTTCTTGATTTTATTTAATTCTAGAAACATGTGGATTCGTTTTCTGGTGGTACTCTAGGAAAGCTTCCCAAATATCGCTAATGCAGTTGTCGGATGAATGGTCAAACGACCAATGCTGACATAAAAACTTGGGTGTCACACCAATAGGTGGTTCCACTTATGTCTCGCTTGCGTTTACAGTTATTTTTATCAAGTACTTTTTTTCTTCAATCGGGGACTGCCTGTCCAGTACTGACGATACCCAACAGGCTGAAACATATATNTTGCTACACTTTTGGTGAATCACCAGCATAGGTATCCTGTAAAAATGAAAAAAACTAATAGGTATACCGGACCGAGTGATGTGAAAGTTGCTCGCTGGCTCATCGCGGAGATGACTCACGGTTGCTTTTAATTACAAAAGACAAACGACTTACCTTCTAGCGGGTTCAAACTTGTCCAGAAAAGTCAACGAACTTTATTACATGTGTTCGATAAAAACGCTTCGTAGAACTTTGTTATTGTTTTCAGCGGTAATGTAACCACAGTCATACGATGCTCCGTAATGAAATTCATAAACTGATAGGGAAAGTAAACATTGCGGAGATGATGACATTTTTAATTGACTTTGAAATTATGGTGATGGCGGGCGGCGTGTATATTGAGCGACATACCGACAAAAGTATCTTATTTATTGAACTCATCTGAACGAATTCAAACGTAAACATTTCTGGGTTATCATGATGCACGAGGTATTTTCAACTTGTGAATCTATTTAGTAGAAGAAGGGAGAATATAATTTGCTGACTACGAAAAAACAATCACCTAAATAGTACCAAATAACTCCCTCACATTGCTTAATATTGATGACACCATGAATACAAAATAGAAGGAGGTGTTATCGAATGTCTATGTGTTATCGAATGTCTATGATTTAATTC